TATTACTTGAAAGACAGCTGATCAGTTTAGAAGCATGAGAGAAAATTATCTTCTTTGGGACAAATATGTTCTGAAGGAACAGTGCAATGCAATACTGTCTGTAAAGGAATTGGTGGTATTCATCCCACAGGTTATGACTGCTAAGCTGAGGTGTCTGTATGTTGCAGCACCTACAGGATTTGGATGTTTAAGCCACAGTTAGTGAAATCCATGAACCAAAGTGAGCACTTATATTTGGCCAACCATATAACTGTTTATAAATGGCTACCGACCTAGGTTTAGATCTGGCTGTATGAATACAACTATTGCATTCCATTTGATATGCCTTGACATCTGCACTGTTCCATAGAGGTGATTGATTTTTGGACAGTTTGAATGCCTAGCCCATATATACATGCCTACCTGTTCCTGTAGTCCACTTCCATGACACAAACTCAATGCCTTATATAAAGCCTACTATAGGAGCATCCTGGCCTCCTTGTAATTGGCTTAACCACGTGCTTGCATTAACAGCATCTTATTACTCTCTTGTCATCTACTGTACAAAAATGACTCCTGTCCAGAAAGCTCATCCTCAGTCCATGTTGCAAGAGTGGGAAATGTGGCTGAATAAATACTCTTGTTGGGTTAAGATTAAAAACAGATTTTACAGGAGTCAAGCCCAGCTAATGCGTGCGTGACTAAAACCTGAAATGTCAAGATGTGTCCAGCAGTTTGGAAGTCCAGTGGTTACTCATTGCTCAACTACTGGAATAGTCAATAGAAACTCCCAGATAGAATTTGATGACTGGTGCCCTGCTAAATAAAAACTGTACTGATGGAACATGGTTTATTGGGAAATATTGGTGAGGATGGATGGTTGGACTGGATGCTCCTGGAGGTCTCTTCCAACCTTGGCAATCCTATGATTCTATGATGAGGTATTCATAGTGACACAGAAAAATAACGAGTCACATATTTTCCACGGGGCTTCCCCTAATCTGCCCGTGTGCCTTGAACCCCATTTCATTCCAGTTCCTGAAGCAACACTGTAGGATGTTGATCTCCAGTTCTGCCACAGCCCTTTCCTACCATGGGCCTGCTTCTTTGGGTCTGACCCACAGCCCGACATCATGACCTGCCTTCTTCCTACTCTGTCACCACAAACTCACCTAATGGACTCTTGTTTGAACCTGGTCTCCTTGTTCCGTCACAGGGGCTGTGATGGACCCTACTGCCCACTGATGAGTTTTTCTTTTCTTGCTTTAACGCTTTAGAAATAATATACAGGCCCCAAAGGATCTGTGGTTTACATTTTAGAACCTCAGAGATTACTAGGTATAACAGATAGTGTGTTGCTTTCACTTTTTGGCCATATTAGACTATATCCATCCTTGATATTTACATAGTGAATTAAACATCCTCCCAGCACAACTCCACTAATTGATGGTGAAGGAAAAACATGCACGGACCACCAACAGTAAAGACTTCATGATTGGTTACTCCAGGAATGACTTTGCCAAGCAGAATCCAGAGACTCCTTCTCCATGAGTTCCAAAAAGTTCTCTTTGATGTGATTTTATATCAGAACGGACTTATACAAAATGATAATACATTTATTGTGTCATCTACAGCAGTTTACATGTTAAAAACAATTTCTCTGAACACAAAAAAAAATGTTAGAAACCAGCAATTGATAAATGTTTTTCCACCTCATAACAAAGCTGTATAACCCCAGACCCCATTACCAGTTAAACCAGTTTTGACCCCCCCCAAAAAGATAAGTATTAGACCCAACAGGCCAGTATGTTTGTACCTTGACACAGACAAAAGCCAAAATACAACTTCCCATACTATAAGATCTCAGAGCTGTGGGATATTTTGTTGCCACTAAATTGACAAAAAGAAGGGGATAAGAATGAACACGTTAAGAATTTGTTTTTACAGCTTATATTGGTATACAAAGGCCTCTTCAGACTTTTCTGCAAGGACAAAATCCCTCAGAAAAGGTAAATTCCAGAAGCCTAAGACATTTTGGATGCTGGAGAGTGTCACACGTTGTCATGTCACACAGTAATTCTTCATGTGGATGAATCCCCCAAAAGAAAGCTGATGGGAATTTGTGATATTAATCATAAGAAAGTGAAAGGATCACAAGGTTCAAGACATTGTTTAAGCTCTGCTGGTGAGTTTCCATACACAAAGTACAATATGTATTTAGCCAAATGTAGTTTATTACTACTAGATATGTATGGAGTTTACCATCAGATCATCATTAACTGTTATCTCACACTCTGTATCTTCCCAACATTACTCTTAAATACAATTCTGAACAGGCTGCACGTGCCTGACTCCTAAAAAGTCTTTTTTCACTGCATGTGTACTCTATACCATGATTTATTTTCTTTCATGGACACAGAAATGCATATCACATGACCACAATCAGAGAGCAAATGATTTTGTATGCCCTAATTTCTTCGGAAGCTTTGTTCATATGATCAAACCTCAAGACTGGAAAAGAGAGTTTTAGTAACATGAAACCACGCACTCAAAGTGGGGAGGAAAAGTTTAATTTGTTGAATAAAAGGATTTAATACTCCTTGTGATTAGAGATGATTAACAGTAGTCATGCTCTCCTTGCCAGCTCTTCTCCACCACTGTTTTTCAGAGTATACGTTCAATGGGAGGCACTGAAGAGTTCATCACAGACTGAATGGTGCTATATGCAGAAAGCTGAGAAACTCAGTACAGTCATGCAGATTTGAAGAAAGCTCATAACAACTCACCATCAGCTTTCAGCAGTTTTTCAATCTTTTTTTGGTCTGTGGGAGCCTTTATATAATCACGGGTAAGACCAAAGTCCTTCAGAAACCTTACAAACTTCCATTCCTATATATAACGTATGAATTTATATTCCTTAATGATCCTCCACTGACACTTCATAAACAGTCTATGGACTCTGGAATCTCCACTACCTGATTACTACTGCCATAGGCAATTATCTCTAAACACTACTGAGAAATAATCTAAACCAACAGGCTTGATGAGTTCCTGAGCAGTCAGTCTGATGTAGTGGTTGGCAACCCTGCCCACAGCAGGGGGGTTGGAATCAGATGACTTTTGAGTCAACCCAAACCATTCTATGACTCTATGACTTTATGTGAAATAAAGCTGTTCGTATTTAAGGAAGTGTGAAATGATCTGGAGGCAAGACTAGTTTGAACAAGAGCAAAAGCCATGAGTTATTTCAATTTGGAAATTAGAAAAATGTTTCTCGCTGCCAGGAGTTTTACAGTAACTTTCCAATGACTGTGGAAGGTGAGAAAAATAAAACAGTTACTGAATTTTAAAAGGGAAGGTTGATACTGATAGTGTCAATAAGAGAAAGATGTGGGCGTGTAGGTGGCCAACAGTTTACCACAAATCAGCAATGTGCCCTGGTGGCAAGAAGGCCAATGGTATCCAGGTTGACCAATGGTTGACCAACAGTTGACCAAGCATTGACCAGTGGTTGACCATAAGTCAGCAGTGTGCCCTGGTGGCCAAGAAGGTCCATGGTTCCTGGCAGGCATTACACAGAGCATGGCCAGCGGGACAAGGAAGGTGATTCTCCCCTCTGCTCTGCTCTGGGAGGCCACATCTGGAGCACAGCACCCAGTGCTGGGCTCCCCAGTTCCAGGAAGACAGGGAACTGCTAGAAAGAGGCCTGTGGACGCCAGTGGAGGGCTGCAAAGATAGTGGGGACCTGGAGCACTTCCTGATGACACGACAGGCTAAGAGCCCTGGTGCTGTGCACCTAGAGGAGGTTGAGATCAGTTCTGATCAGTATCTGAAGGATGGGGATCAAATGGATGGGGCCAGGCTCTTCTCACCACTGCCCAATGATAGAACAAAGGGCAATGGGCATAAAATGGAACATAGGAAATTCCATATGAATGTGAGAAAAAACTTCACTGTAAGGGTGACAGCACTGGCACAGGTTGTCCAAAGAGGTGGTGAAATCTGCTTCTCTGGAGACATTCAAGACCCATCTGGACACCAACCCATGCAACCTCCTTAAGGGAATTGCTTTACAGAGGGTTGGACTGAGGATCTCCAGAGGTCCCTTCCAACACCTACAGTTCTGTGATTCTAATATTCTATATTGGCCAAAATATAATTGCTCCAGCTGGCACAAATGTAGCTGGAAACAGAAAGTGCAAAAAAACCTGTTGAAGTCATTCCCCTGGGCTGTGGAGCACTTTGAAATCCATTTATCTATCATTAATATATCAGTTATCATATTAATTGGTAAAAACTCTGCTGGATCTTGGGCAAAAAAGTCAATTCACAAAGGCTGATGATCCATTCCCTTTTTGTTACTTTTGAAGAGGACTGGGAACCCGGTTGTGCTCTGAGTAAAGCAATTAAGGAGCTGCTCTGTGGAAGGTTTTTCCTACTTGCCATTGATGGTGGAGAAAATCCAAGGAGAATTCATTTTTACAGGTGTAATCTCAAGTTATCAGCCAAGTCACTTCCTGCCCACTTCTGTCATTTAGTAAATAGAACTAATTATGTGGTTGCCACACTTGGTTCTTTTGTTTCTGTGATGAACAGATGCTGAGAAGGAGGAGGTGGACACCAAATACAACATGTGAATTTATCTGCTTGCTTTTTTCTTCCTTTTTCCACCACATTTTAACACTTGTTTTTAAGATACTTACACAAAACAGAGTAGCTTGGGTACATTCCTTGCATGAGATAAAAGCACCCACAACTGAACACACACAGGTGAAGGCAGAAAGAGCTGAGGTCACCAGGCAACAAGGAAACAAGCCTTTGAAACACACATCTTAGTTTTCATTTGGGGATGTTAATTGTTGTGTCATATCAGCACTCCACATCAAAAAGTCAATAATAAAACAGTAAATACTCACAAAAGATGCAGTACAGCAGGCTTTTGAACAGTTACAAAAATGAAGAAAATTAGACTAGATATACATTATGGACATGGTAGAAAAAATGGCTCAAGGAGCACTGCACACTTTTGTTTCTCTTTTAATTACATACTGTTAATAACATATGCCTTTCTAGCTCCAAAATATATTTCACAGTGAAAATCAAACAAAGCACTGTTGCACTCAATCAATATTTACAGACACCTAGAAGCAAACCAGCTTTGGGTTTCTTCCATTCTGGAATGAAGAGACATTGCAGCCACAGTGAGAGATGGCTGCACACGTCCAACATTTCAGCTTACATTCAACATAAAGATTTCTGAGACAGCAATTTGTGCGATGGCATCAGAACCTGGTTTAGATAACTCTGTACATTTGAAGAGTGATCTTTCCAGTAACAATGAAAAAGTCAGACCGACTAAGGGGAACAAGGCCAGGCTGGATGTGGCTCTGGGCAGCCTGGTCTGGTGGCTGGCGATCCTGCCCATGGCAGTGGGGTTGAAACTAGATGATCTTTGATGTCTTTTTCAACCCAGGGCATTCTATGATTCTATGAACAGTTTTTGCAAGCATATCAATACTTTCAATAAAAAGAAATCATAATAGAAGGGGTTGTTTGTATAATATGTATATATTATATATTAGATATGTAGAGATATATTAATTCTTCTCATAAATTCAGTGCTGGTGAAATGTACCAAGGACTTCAGTTTGTCCAATGAACAGTAAACACAAGGATTGCAACGGCAGAAATTTCCTCTCCACTGCCCTCCAACTTTCCTTGCTCCAGAGCATAGCTCTGTAAGAGGCAAGTCCAAGTCTTTGGGGCTATTCAGTCCTTGGCCTCTCCTGCTGAGAATGCAAAAACAATGATAACAGCAGTAATACTGTGCTGAAGCCAAACTCCAAGCCAAATTGAAGTGGCTGTGTTCTAACAATAGCAATGTTTTTCTGTACTGATTCTAACATAGCTGAGGACCCAGTTTTCCATTGTGCATGACTGAAAGGTGGTTTTGGTGTTGTGGACACATGCCCATAAGGCACTGGACTGAGATCCACCAACTCAAATTTCAGAGCACTGCAGAACAGGAAGGAAAACAGCAGAATCTAAAAGGAAGCTCAGAAAAAGCCTCAATCAAATAAAATAATATAAAACAAAGTCAAATAAAACTCAAAATGAAAATTATAAAATACACATTCTTACTCTGGACTGAAACGTGGAAAAATTCTCCAGCTAGAGACATTTCAGAGTTATTTAATTCTTTTTTTTTTTTTTTTTTTTTTTTTCCAAAAAAGTTTTGAATTTATGAATGCTTGAAAATTAGCCACCAGCTATTCATGCAAAATACTTCTAGGGTTTTTGTTTTTTTTTTTAATAATATACTCACAATATTGTCAATGTAACTCTTAAGTGAAAGGCCGTACTACAGAAAATACGAAACTAAATATTATATGCTCATCTAATGTTAGATAATTCATTTCCCAAGTCCCAAATATTCATTTACCTGATAGGTCTGACTTCGCCATTCTTCCTCTTCAGTGTCCTTCTGGCATGCAAAGAGTTCCTTGGAGAACTCTATCTCATAGCTTTTAGCAGAATCTAATGGGACAGGAAACTCTGATCTGTCAGCTAAAATACTTCAGAGATTTTTTGCACATGGTCTGGAAGAGGGGGAAGGATTCTGCTCTCAGAGCAGCAAGACTTGCAACAAAGGTATTTGTACCATCTAACTCCCACTTAGGTGTAAGCAAAGCGATTTAAACTTTTTTGGTGGTCCTCTGTGCCAGGGTAGATTGCATCTGACTGGAACGCAAATGTCTTAAGAGTATGATCCTGTACTGACGTGAAGTCAATCTCAACACTTCTGCCTGTTTCAAATTATTTTTACATTCATTTACTCTGCTACAACCAAGAGCAGAATATGTCCCTTAAAGCACTATGTAAGAGTTAAGTATTATAATTAATACTTCTTTTGCAACTTTCTGACCTTTTTTTCCTGTTAAAAAAATAAGGAAACTATTGTTATTCTTAGAAACCTGTACTTAAAATGACATTAAAACTTCATTTTTACCCAAACTAACAAAAACCAGTGAAATTAAAACTTCAGCACATAGTAACCATTCTCTTTTCCTTTTTTTTTTTTTGTTGTTGTTGTTGTTGTTTCCATGATCAAGCTCCAAAGAACAAGCCTGAATTTTAAATTCCCTGGTTACTATTAGTTCCAGTTCATACCTTCACATTTAAAATGTCATTTTCATTTTTTTTTTAATATATGCACACGCACACACGCACACACACACACACATATATAGATATATATATGTATATCAGTTCATAAATCCAAAATGAAGAGAGAGCTAGTACGGTTATCAAAGCCTTTATGAGCTGTATAAAGACTCGTTAAGAATTGACATCATCAACATTTGACTGAAGTAGATGTGCACCAGTCGTGGCTTTAACTACAAGGCAAAGTTGGAAAGAATGTTTTAGGTTTTCAAAGAGAAACAGTAAGAACATCAATGTTAAAACAAATTATCCAAAGAGAGAGAAAAATGCCAGATGTGGGAAGTCATCCAAAGGCTTCATCCTTTCTTTCCACAGCGTTTCACTGTTCAGTTTGATTGCTCAGCAAAAGCAGACTTTTACCTTCCAGGATGATTGTGCCAGATCCCTCTCGTGCCTCTAGCAGAGAAGAACCAGGACACGCAGAAGTCAGCCAGGTTGCAAAGGCACCACGACGCGTGACAGTACTACACAAAAACATGCTGTGTTTGGACATGGATGCAAAAGGTTCACAGTTATCTGGAGGGAAACGCTGTCTTGGAACTGACTTTTGTTCTTAAGGTGGGAAGGAAGGGTTATTTTTATTATTCAAACAATTCAGTCAATCCATCAATCAACTCTCAGTCAACCATTGCCAAAAATATAGATATATCTCAACTACATGGCCCTTTTAGAAAACTCACAGCTTAGCTAGAACATAATGCATTCTCAGAAGCATCCTTGGGTATGGAAAAAAGTCAGCTGATCCCATCAGTCTTGCCTGGAGTACCCCCATAGACTGATGACAGCTGTACAGCTTTACATTGGCACAGCAGTTCCTTTAAGCCCACTGGGTACATCTGACTGAATCCAACCACGAAGTTAATGTTCTGGTGTTCTTCCTGAACTGGCTGGTATGATTAACTCAAACATGTTAGCTCCATCCTAAGACTCAAAAAAGAAACACTGCGGAAATTCACATGCCAAAAGTCAGATGATGGGCTAAGATACGTTCGACTAGAAGAAAAAGAATGCAAATACAAAACTAAATGAAAATCAGTTTGAAAAATAACCATTATGTCCATTCATGAATTAGGATCGGTTTGGCAACCAAAGATCAAAACTGCACAGCAATCACTTGTTACTTTTGACTGACAACGGATTACTTGCAGATGCTCTGAAATGTATATCACTGAGCAAGTGGGCTTGGCCTGTTTTTATCTTTTAAATATTTTTCCATTAATGGCATCGAGTACAGTTGTGTATTTACACTGATTGTTAAAAAGATATGTATATACACTTCCTTCACTTTTTTCACCTCTACAAACATCAAGAATGTTCTGGAGGTAAGGAAAGGGGAAGGGAAGTGAGGAGAAGGGAAGGGAAGGGAAGTGAGGAGAAGGGAAGTGAGGAGA